AAACTTTACATAGTTGTGATTCAGTAACAATTTTTTCTCAGGCAAAAAATTTCGACTTTATAACCAGTGTAATTTTCTTAGTGTTAGCGGTGTTAGTCTAGTAAATAGTCACTGATGACTTTTTTAGGTTACTCTCAAATTTTTTCAAGCTGATCTGTGTTTTGTTTACCGGTCTACCACAATTATGACAAAATTTTTGTCTTTATAGAATATTTGTTGTGGACCTCAGCCTCTATTCATTAAAGCGCTTGGACTTTTAACTATGGTAATCAGTTTAAAAGTTTTCTTGCGTTCTTTTGCGTGATTCTATGTTTTTTTTTTCTTTTCGGTTGTCCAAACTACTCGTTCCAAAACTTGCATAATCTGTTTCAATGCTCAAAGAATGACATGCCTGTCAAACTGTACTAGTCTGATTAGACATCAAAGGGTATTCTTCCAAGTTTATCACTTCTAGAGGTTTTTACATGCTGTTGATTTACAGGCGAAATAACTGTTTTTATCACTTGGCAACAATCTTTTTGGAAGTTTAATTTTATTTTGTAGTTTCCTTGTGCTTCAACCGCGAGAAATCGCTATAATGCCAGCAGTTCAACGGGATGTTAGCACTGCTGTAGGGAGTAAACTTGAAAGAGTTGTCTCCTTCTCCTAATCAGACCAGGTACAGGTGGGCAACTCATTCTTCAAACGCTTCATCAGATATAAGCAATTTCAGAACCAACATTCTGAATAGGTAAAAAGTCATTCAGAATTGCACAAAACATAGGCTTACCCTCAAAAAAATGATCATCAATTCAGAAAGACACGTAATCACCCCTGTTTTGATTGGCGTAATTAGAACGTCCCTACTTCCGGAGTATTTTAGCGAGCACTGACCAGTTTTGAAAATAACACCGTAAATGAACAAAAAGTTTTCCAAAACTGGCGCAGGTTCGTACAAAAGAACACATATTGGCTCAAAAAATGGTGCGAAAATCAAAAAATCATCAGTGATCTCTCACCGGCTTAGCGTGTTAGGTAGCTTTTCTAAGAATACTCCAATTTCCCAGGATAAACTTGTTAAATGCGTGAAAAAAGTTACAAAATTGTATCATAACCATATCAAACCTCATGTTTGGAGGAAATGGGATTGTTCTGGTAGAAACGCATTTTTTTTTCTCCGGATCAGGCTGAGAGTGAAATGCTTTATAAAAAAGCTGGTTCTTTGACAACAGTTTATGCAACGTTCTTACTGCAGGATGAAATTGGTCAAATGTTTTAGAAGATTTTCAAACGCCAAAAAAAAAAGAGGACGATAAGTAAGAACCTAACAATGCAGAAAAATGCGAAATGGCAAACAGATTCAGTAGGTACTTATAAAAAATTCAACTGTTACGATAGATACAACGTTGCAGTAATCTCTAGTTTTTACTTCCAGTACTGTTCTTGACTAGTGTTTATTTCGAGTTATAAAAGTTGTCGTTTTCAAATAAAATTATTACCCATTTTCAAGTTTATGGCACAGTCTTTTTGCGGCACAAAGCAGTCTCCTCTTTTTTCTTCTAACCAAATCATCTTCTTATTCGTTTCGAATTTCTTTTTTTTTTCTTACAAAAAAGTTATTTTTCATTTGTTATCAAGTCAAAAATTTTTTTATTTTAGGCAAACTTCCTTTTTCCACCCATTGAAATGTGATCAGAATGTTTTGTTCATATTCTACTTTTATTTAGCGCGGAAGTACAGATAGCAAATAATATTGTAAACAATATCGTCTACAATTCTAGTTAATGTTTTGTCAAAGTAAATACTAAGCCTGCTTCTACACTTTGCTTAACACTTTTAAGGTAGTTTGAAGTATTTTTGAACTTTAGTGCTTTTCTTTCAATAAATGGCAAGTATTTCTAGTTGCATTTGGGAAGTAATTCGCAAATGATAATCTATAAAAAAAAATTGTGTTTAACTATGAGATCAACATTAAAAAGCAGTGTCTTAAACGGTCAAATCAGCATGGCAGGCTGAAAAATTATTGTTATAAAATTTTAGACCGCCATAGTCATGTTTGCCATAGTAGAACAATTATAAAAAGAAACTGATATTTTAAACAGAATAAGGACCTCACGTATTGTTTACAAAAGAATTTCCTTACATTAATTTGCATTCTGTTTTGTGCTTTAACAGTGAATTTTGGAAGAATAATTGAGCTAGCATAGAAAAATTATATTTGGTTTTTTGTATAATTATTCAATGTACAGCTAACTCTTCCTTCCTTACGTAATTCAATGGTACACTGAACAGAGGAAGTATGTAGTGTGGAAAGTAAAATAGCGGTAAAAATGTTCAGGTTGCTGTCGACAAAAGATTCACAGAAAAGTTGAAAATGTTAACTTTTGCTTAATGCCTTCTTACCGCCGATTTTTAAGTTCAAAAGCGACAACCTCAACTTTTTCTAGTCAACTAATCATTATTAAAGAAAGGAGAAATTTTTTAAAATTTTGTGCTACAATATACCTGCTGTTTTTTTTTGTAGATTTTAATTGTAAAATTTTTAAAACGTTCACTTACATTTCTGTCATTTCAACACAACGGTACTTATATGCTGTTGAAGAGTAAAACTGAGTCAATTGTCTCTGATTTATTATAAGCGTATGTAGAAAAATTATAATTCTGTAATATGCTGTCAGTAAAGTTGACATTACCTTGATTCTTGGAAAAAATTTCATTAGCAACTTCTGTATTTTCAGAAAAGGAAAAAAAGGAAACAGAACAAAACAGTCATTTATTTTGCCTTTTATTTCGCCAAAGTATGATCAATTATCAATAATTCTACTTTCGTCCTATTACTGTTTTTACAAGCATATTCTTACTGATTACAAAAACTTGACCTTTGCTACACAATCTTAGGTCTGCACTGAAATCAAAAACTGCAAATGCCACTGGAAGTTTTCACAAGGTGAATAGCTATCGCTGTAAGAATTTAACTGCGAAACTTTAATAATGCATTTTGGCCCCTATGACTATACTTTTTGAGACGATGTAGCTGCTAGAACTGAGACGGGTAAAATAAGTGCCCGTTTTACCGTTCAAGTGCCAAATTAGCACATGTAACTTAATAAGGAATGAGACTTCAAAACATGCACAGTTAAGCCAGATTAATTTTACCAAAAGATAGCCCAAATGCTAGTCACATCTAAAATTTACCTCCTGCAGTAAAAATAGACACAGAATTTAATCTTAAAATATTATAGCCTTGTTTTATATGTGTTTCTTAAACGTTAAACCAACTTCCGTTTCAAATGATCTTGGAATCGAACAAATTTGAAATCTTAAATTCGTAATTTTCCCTCAAACTTCAAACGGTTCACGAATGTTAAAATTTAATAATAATTAATTGTTCACAATTAAAAGATATGATCGATATGACATAACTGTCACTTAAAACTGTATCATACCAGCCTATCATTAGTGTTTTTGATATTATCTTATTTGCTCAAAAAATTTTTATGAAAACATTTTTTTCTAATTTTAGGAATGGCTTCTACAAACCGACCTAACCAGCTATATGTTCCAACACTTTGCATACCTTTATTGACTACTGCAATTAGTTGAAACGAAAAGTTGCTGCTGCTGCTAAACCTTGATATTTCAAGAAATAACCTTCACCTAAACAGATTATACAAACAAATTCTGCAAGTTAACAGTCTGTCAAAATTCTTTTTGACAAATAAACCTTTGAGAAAAATCGCTTTTTAAAACGATTCAAGCAGCAAAAGACCCTGGACATTGACTTAGACAAATTCTTGCAGGAAGATGTGCTAATTATTACCTTTCAACTTCTAAAAAATCGGAAAGCTTTATTATACAAGTCTCGCCATGCAGATTTTTACTGTATTTCCCCAGTAGAACTTTCCTCTTGTTTTCATTTCCTACTCTGAAAACACAGGAACTTTATCCCTTTTGTGCTTGTTGTTTTCTGATAAAACGTGAACCACCTGTACAAATTTATTTATCATACTGCTACGTAACTCAGCGACTGTTTAAAAAAAAAAAAAACAAAGTAATTTCTTTGTAGTTTGACGTCAACCTTTGCTAAAATTGAACTTTATTCCGACAGCTTCTCGCATATCTTCAAGTCTTAAACAAACTTCCAAAACTTACACAAACTCTTTCCACTTTCATCGCAAATTATAAACTTGCAAAACAATGACAACTGCTTCCAGTTCCGATATACGTCAACAGTTAATTCAAAAATATAAGCTTCGGTTTGGATTAGAAAAGATCATCATCCAAATGAATTATCAAAAAACTGTCCACTTTAAAAATTCTTAATAATGTTTCCCATCAAGTCAATGTTACGTACTTTTTATCATATTATATTCCATCAGCTTTGAAAACAACTTAACAGCTGTTTCCAAATATAAACCCTCAATCAAATCAAGTGAAGATAACCTTACTTAAAGAAACTGAGAATCTGAATAGGAAGTGCAAGAAGTTTGTTGCAATGGGTGACGTTAGGGCGTAAAGGAAACTTAATATATCTTTCTAATTCCTAGAATGCCAAGACTTCATCATACGAGAAAGACAAATAATCTGACTTAAATAAGGAAACGTAGCTAGATTTTCAACAGCAAAACAAGTCCTTTGGTCAAATAAACTTCGAAAAGTTGCACTTCTCGCTCATTCACAGGACAGACTCTGTGATGAGATTCACACCTTTTCTTGTTAATCAGTTCCAATAACAATAAAAAGAAAAATAAAGAAATTGAAAACGAGGTACATACATAGAACTTAACAACGAGCTTAGCCGAAAATGAATAAAGAAGTAATGGCGAAAAAGAAAACAAGAAACAGGTACAGATCTGCAACAAAAAAGCATTAAAATCCCTTAGACAAACAACGTCAACCGAGGCCCGCGGGAAAAACACCGTAGTATAAAATCACACAGATTCACGAAGAGAGACTAATAAAAAACTTATTAAGAACTAAAAAAAATTGCTCTTCATTTAGAAGAATTATTAGCTAGATGCCTAATCCAATTCCATATCATCAGAAGCTTGTAAAGAATCAACCCGATCTTCTGGGGGTTTACTTGACTTGGGTGCATCTTCAGTTACCATCAGTTGTCTCGTTTCTTCTTTCTCTTCGTCCGTTTCAGCGTCAAACTGTTCGTCTTCACTTATCTCATTTGCATTTGCACTTTCACTGTTTCCCTCACTTTGTCCAGCACCTACCAAGCCTAAAACCAAAATAATTTCGAAATGGAATGACTAACACTAAAACAACAAAATAAGGAGATGCAGATATGTTTGGAATTTACTAAATTCAGACGGCAACCTTTGAGAAAACTTCCAAAAAATCCAGTTTGCTTCTGGGGAGGAGGAACCGATAGGTATATCTGGCCGATCCTGTCAAGATAACGAATAAAAGACGGATCTCGTTGCAAATCGTACACTTCCAAAAGTCGGGTAAAAATTTCAATCTATAAATTCATTAAAATACTTACTCTCATAAAATAAAAATGGCTGGTCATTCACAAACACGAGGAGAAAAATTTTGTTCAACGCCACCGAACTAACAAAAACTTTTAAAATACTTCCCAGAAACAATAACTCACTTTGAAAAAATTATGTGAGGCTGAAGAAGATGAAAAAAAAGCTAACTTTCATTTTTAACGACTGAGCGCTCAATACTAAAAACTAGGAACGTTTCTAATAGTAAATCAAGAAGCATATTGTACTTTTTCGTAAAACCCTGATTTCACGTAATTAGATGGAAAGCCACAGTTAAAGAACTTTGATAATTTTCTATACCTTTTTAGAACGAATTGCAAGAATAACATAACGAGCGAAATTCAGAAGAGGAAAGTTATAGGGAGGTTTACTATTAATGTTTGGATGCTCCTTGCAATATTCTTGAAGCAATATACTGGCCGTACGCGGCTGCTTACCACACAGCAGCTAAAGATGAAACATGAAAAACCAACACAAACACTTTATCAATTTCCAATGCAGACCTTATACTAGAGAAAAAAAACTAATTTAAAGAAGTAAAACCTGCAAAACTGCTTGTACAATAAACAGGTCCTTCTCGTCTTCATGACCATGTTTAAGCTGAAAGTCAACCAGAAACTTGGCGAAATCCTAAAAATAAACAGGATTTTAATCAACTTAATGAATAAAAAATGAGGCCTTAGTTAATCTGAATTTTTTAAAAACAAAAATGTTACTTAATGCGCGTCGTAATCAACAAGAAAAGTTTAATTCACTATTAGAGGAAGGCTGCTACAGTGCTGGCTTGGTTAGGAGTTGAAAGCCGTATTCTAACTCCTAAAACTAATTGGAGGCTTCAAAAGTGCCAAGTTCATTACCTTAGGGTCATCCGACATCATAAAATGACTTCTCGCTGCGCTATAGTTGCCTTCTTTCCATAAAACATTTGCTACACACCTGCATTACGAATCGAAATAGGAGAAGCAAATATGTACCGTAAGAAAAACGGTAATAATAATAACAATAATTGCAAAAAAAAAAATAACAAATAAAACCTTGAACATAAAGTTTTTGGAAAAGACAAAATATACAAAATTAAATCAGAAAGACAGGCACCTGTGTAGACGAGCATCTCCTCTTTGCTTATACCGCCTCTTTTCGCTCACACTTATTGACCACTTTACTGCTTGAGACAAAAAGTAGCTTCTTCTATCTACTTTCTGCCCATCAGTGGCTGCGTCCTTCTCCAGTAAAGACGGCAAAGAGGAGAAAAGCTAAAAGAAAATCTACCATCAAGATAAAACTAAACAAAAAAAACGAAACTTCATAGTGGACTGCCGTTAAAGATCTCCCTCCATATAAAAAATTTCAAAAATGCCTCTGGTAGACAATATCAACCAACCTAGCAGGCAAACCCACCTGTTGAAACTTGTCAAGAACTTCGGGAGAAACCGGAATGTGCCCTCGCATTAGCACTTCGATATACAGTTCTGCTAAATCCATAGCACTTGTTGGCTCATTAACTGCAAGAATTTTATAATAAATTAGAACAAAGGAACGTTTTAGCACAATTATTAGCAGTCATATTATTATACAAACAACAGAGAGTCTTAAAAAAACGCTTATCCAAAACCAACTAAACTGGTGCTAGTTAACTGGGAGTTTCAAGAAAAAAGCTGCAAAGAAAAGGAACCAAAAAATACGCAAACCAAAGCCAGTATTTTAAAAGTCCGAAATTCAAAGTTACAAAAGAAGCAGATTTTTTGAAAAAGATTCCAAATTTTCTGCTAGCTTGTGACCTCAGATTAGAAAAAAAAAATTTTTTTCATCTAAAATAGTCCTGTAAAAAAACACTAAGACTCCCAGTGTGTGATGCAAACTTATAGATAATGCACGAAAAAAAAAAAAACGGTCTTTGAATTAAACAAGAAAAAAAAAATCGAGCAGAAATTCATGGTACGCAAACAATTGGAACTGCAGTTTAATAAGGTGAATAAAACAACCGAGAAGCAGTTTCCCGATTAATGTTCCAAAAGAAACTAGATATGTTGCAACTTCTGTGGGCGGTAATCACATCCCTGACAATTTCTGCACACTTTTGGAACAAGGTGAAAAAAATAGAAAAAAATAGCACTTATTTGCAGTGAAATAATAACAAAAAAAAATTATTTTCTTTGTAACATTCCGAAGTTCCCTTTTCATTCCTCCCCAAATTCGATTTTAATAAACCAAATTTGAAAAACCAAAAATATAATTCAAATGAAAGATACAAAAAGAATTACCGTAGATAAGTTCACAACAGAAATATTTTATGAAATAATAACTAAATGAGAGACGAAGCAGTTTTTAACAGAGTATTGTAACAGACAAAAGCAATTAATAAACCTTCAAGACTTTTGAAACAATTTTCATATGAAACCTGAAGTTCAAGTCGTATGATAAAACAGAATAAGAAGCCGAAAACTATTAATTAAGAAAGGCATTAATTGTATTTATGATTGATTCAAGCTAACTGTCATTCCAACTGCGAACTTTCAAAACATACTTAAAACTAAATGAAGTTTACGGGGACAAATAACAAAACTCAAATGAAAAAAATAAGTATTCAAGGAAGAAGTAATCTGAAAAAATACCTTCAATTAATTTCATAACCCCTGTGTGAAGAAGGTTCTGAAGCTGGTCCCATTCACCGCGGGATGAGAGACGAAAATATAAAGTTCTGTACACTTGATGAGCTTCATAATAATTCTTTTTTTCAAAACACTCTGCTATCTTTTTTTCGAAACGATCAAACTAAAAACAAGGATAATGTAGAAAACGAGAGGTATTGTACAGCCAAACTAACATGTGTCAAATGTCAAGTACCAAAAAGAAAATCGTCCCATAAATTGTTTCAAACGCAGCAAAATGAAAAGTTCATAGTGTGAGAAAACACAGTTTTTAGTATAAAAGTACAGTCTGTTTATAGAATTGTGATCAAAATTTTCGGCAACATCCAATTAAAAAGATCACTCACTGAGAAAGTTCTAAGCACGAATTTTGAGAAAAAAAAGAGGAAATCAAAACAGCTATCAAATCAAGACAAAAATAAAACAATGACGGACAAAGCCATAAGTAACAAACACATAACGACTCATAAATAATAACCGGCCAGCTTTTAGCAAATTTCAGTTTCCGATTTTTATAGAGAGAAAAAAAAGTACCTTAGACATGCCGATAATGATATTCTGTCCTTGATCACAAACAGGTGGTCTTCTTTCCTCAAAAGTCCTGGTAAATAATGTAACATTCGATGGGCAATAAAAAAAGCGATAGCAACGAGGCCGAGAGACTTTAAAAAATCTCTTTTTCAATCAATACTCTGCAAACTGCTTTCGCAGATGGCTCACTTTTTTCTTTCAACTCAAAATAAGCAAGTAAAAAAGAAAAAAAAAAAGAATCTTATCTGGGCAGTAACACGCAGGCAACTGTATTAAACAGTAAAATAATATAAAAGCGGTGACAAATGCGACAGTATATCTGATTTCGTTCTGGTATTAGTCATCCATAAAAAAGTTTACTCAAAAAGTTACAGAAAAAACTAAAAAAATACTTAAATAAAAGCCATAATAAAAGGCTAAGCAACCAGAAACTAAAAAATATTTGAAGTGACATAACAGCATAACTGAGAATTGTACAGATTGTCCAAACAGTTCAAACCACACCTCATCAGACCTATGAATCGAGGCACCGAAAATTTCGTACTCATTTGGCCTTCGTCCAACCTATAACAATGCGTTAGGTTAATATTATGCTGTTAAGAAACGCACAGTTTGAACTATGCTGATGTTCAGTTTGCAGTAAACCCAAATATGCAAGGCGTGGCGTGCCTTAGTCAATGCCGGCGAACGACGCCATTTAGCGTTCGTGTTGTGGCCGTTTGAGGTTTGGCTTTATCTTTTGTCGTTCTTTGATTTTCGTACTGGCGGCGGATTACTTAAGAGTTACTTATGAATCCGTGACGGTTTTTTTAAGTTTTTTTGTAGTGTACCATTTAGTTAAGTTTACGCGG